CACATTCACAGGCTCCAAGTATAAGTTCATGGAAACTTTGCAGGGTCATCAAAGTCCAAAACGCGAAAATAATTCTCAGCATGGTCCCAATATTCTGCTGCACAAATATAAAGAATCTTCTTGATATCAAGTTCAAAATGAGCCTTATCTTCTTGATATGAAGTTCATGTTTTACCGATATAATTTTCAAAGCAGCTTTTCTTGTGTTTTTGAAGACAGAAAGTTTGATTTCAGTTAATACTTTGTTATTTCAGGATTTGTTCATTTGTTAATCAAGGTATGTCACCATTTGTAGGGAATGGCCTTTCTAATCCCGTTGATCATCTAGCAGGCTCTTTTAAAGAGGCACTTGGGTGACATGCTTTTCAAATTGTTGCTGGTGTATCATGAAGGAAAAATGAGCCAGCATTCTGCAAGCTTAAAACTAGGTGGTGTCGTCGAAGTGAAAGGGTATGTCATCCGCAATAACAACTCAAGATCAGAACAATAATGAGATAAGGCTTTGTTGTTTTTGTTGTTTGGTGTATCTGTATAACATTTGTATTCTTCAATACTAATGAATGTTTTTGTTACTTAATATCAATGCTATGCTACGAGACTTTTGGTTCTGTTTCTCAGTAGTTATGCCGCATGCTCACCATATTTTTACCAAGGTACTGAAAATTGGACAGGACCGGCCGGTTCAATCGGTTGAACAGTGAAATGGACCGGTGTATGGTCAAATTGATCCTTAAAACTGCTATAGAAAAAAACCGGACAAAAACTGAGAAACCAGATGAAAAACTGGAAAGATGGGTAAAACCAACCGTTTGACCGAATTTGTAATTTAGACCGTGATTAGCTTTTGATTTGTAAAAAGATGGAAAAATAAGACATTACAAAATAACTTGTGTTTTGCCACGTGAAAGCCACGTCGGTAACACCCAAATCACGCCACTATTCAACTTTTGCCACCTTAAGAAACACGTCGCTGTATAGCGCGTGACAATTTTGTTGCGGTGTGAAAAGCATGTCACAACGTTGCCACGTGAAATTTACGCCGCAACAGACTTTATAAGATGAAAGTGTTCAGAGCAGAGCAGTTTATATTATCTTTACGTTTGTTGTTGCGGCGTGTTTTTCACGTCACTAATTAGTGACGTGAAAAACACGCTGCAACTTGTTTTAAAAAAAAAATTGTGTTTTAAATATATTAATTCTGTTATAATAATTAATATTATTTTTTGTTTTATTAAATTTATAAATTAAATATTATAATTTATTTATTAAATATAATATTATAAATCAAATTATCAAAAACAAAACTAAATATATCTAAATGTATAAATAAATATACTTAATATTATAAATTTAATAAACTCAAATTTAAATTTATAATATTTTTAAATATACAATATGATTATAAATTTATATTACACAAATAAAAAACTAAATACAAAATAAAAATAAAACTAAGCAGAATCATTCGAGTCGTCGGAAAAGTCGAGAAGAAAGTCATCATTATTTTGGTGGTTATTATTTTGGCCACCACTGTTGGGATTTCTACCAAATTCTTGCATAAATTGTCGCATTTTGCTCCTCCATATCAGCCCAGCCTCTTCGCCATTGCCTCAATTTGTCTATTATGTTCACCCCTCATTGCCTCCATTTGGGCCTCCATTTGGGCCCTTCAATGCCGCCTCACGATCTTCGGACTCGCGTCTAGCCAATTGTCTTACCAGTTCTAACTGATCTGGTGTCAAATTTGTTTGACGTGACCCTCCTTCACCGTCTGCAGCTCTCTGATACAGATTTCTATCCCCACTCCTCAAGGTGCCTGCCAAATTTCCACCACCAAAAAAACACCCGTTAGGCCCCTTTCTCCCAACAACTTGACTCCAAATATAGAAATTCACATCTGGATGAACCGGTTTTTCCGGAGGAGGAGTATACTGAGGATTATAGGTCAGAAATTCTACAAGCAAGGCCTGATAATCCTCCTACACATACAATAAAAAAAATCAAGTTAAATTTATAAGTAACATTAATGAAATTAAATTAAATACAAAAAAAATAAAAAATAAATAGCCATGTGATTGTAACGCCACAACTTATCAGTTGCCACTCAATTTTCACGCCACAACATGTCACTTGCTACATGAAAATCACGTCACAAAATTGCTTAAAAAAATATATAAACATAAATTTACTTACCAGGGCTTTTTTTGTACGCTCGTCAATAAATCCTCCTGATTTCTTTGTCCGAGTTTCCTTAACCAGCTCAGTCATCAATGATTGTCTCCCCAAACGCTTAGCCTAAATAAAAAAATTAACTTAAATTAATAATATATTATAAATTCAAATATGACTTTAAAAAGTGGTAATAATTACCATGCGTCAAGCATGCTCAGCAATACTGTTGTACCCCAAAATTTGCCCTCCCATATTTCTCAAAAAATATTTCAAGAAAAATTCACAAGTCCAACCTGGCGCGTCATATTCAGGTATTCTTTCGCCAAGATATCTCTGATAACGTATTCTCAAATTCAGGTTCGGCTCAAGAGTCAATTCTTTAAAGAAGGTATCCGAATGTGTGAGTTTTCTTGAAGAAATATAGTGAAAAAGTGTGCTGAAAGTGCAGTTTTTACGCGCTAAAAAATTCATAACTTGAAGATCGTGACTCGTTTTGAACCCGTTCCGGTGGCCAAAATTCCGTCTTGACATTATCTACGTTTTCATCTCTCACGGCTGGAAGCCAATTTCGATCAGAAGGTCTTCAAAAATGTGGATTTATCAAGTATTTTCGTGCAGAAATTTGTGACAGAAGTTTATTTGCGTCATGTTCAAAAAATCATAACTTGGTCGATTTTCATCGTATCGAGCTGGTTCCGGCGCCAAAATTTCACAAATTGAGTTGGCTACATTTTCACAGAAGGTATTGAGTTCAAACGGTATTCAAAAGGCCTTCGTTTTTTGCTCAGAGTGCGTGACACGCTGAAAATCCTGAATGCTGAATATTATTTCATCTGAGCCGAAACTTCGAAAATTCATAACTCGGTCAATTTTTATCGGATTGGACTCATATTTTTACACAAGGTCCCTGACTCATAGATCTACAACTTTGCTTCAAAAGTCGAGACCAAATTATGCACCAATCAATACCAGTTTTTTATTGAAGAACGTGTCAGAGTCGACACTGGAGCCCAAAATAAGTTTGTCTGAGCTGAAACTTCAAAAATTCATAACTAATTCACCGTTTATCCGATTGAGTCGATTTTCGGACAGGAGTTAGTTCTCGATGCCGGCTACATTTTGTTTTCACGTTTCAACTTCAAAAAATGCACTTAAGTCCCTGCGATTTAGCCTGGAAAGTGACGAATTCAAGTGAATATTGGAGGCCCAATTGCACATTCAAAGCCCATTTTCTTTATCCTAATTTCCACTATATAATCACCTTCTTGTCACACAAACCAGGAGGAGAAAAAAAAAAAAAGAGGAGAAAAAAAAGAGAAGAGGAAAAGAGAAAAAAAACCTTGCCACAACACTGTTAGAATATCAAATTCTTTCAAGAACCCTAAAACCTTGAAATCCTTATTACAAATCCCTCTCTCACTACAAACAAGCCATCTCAGTTACAAACCAACATCTTATTACTTCTTCAGTAAGGGTAAGGCTGGCTTGATCTCCATGATCCAAAGGGCATAAAAGCATTCATGTCACTAATCTTCCAGTAAGGGTAAGATTGATTTGATCTCCATGATCAAAAGGGTATAATCATTCATACATGCCATATTGTGCCTAAACATTAAATTTCTTCATATGTTAGTTTTATTTGAATTTTTATGATTTTATTTAATGTGTTCATGAGGTTCAACACTGCAGATTTAGACAGGATCCCATGCAGGTTTATTAAGGAACGTTGAGGCCAAAAGCCAAATGGTCAAAAGGCCAAAAGCCAAATGGCCAAAATAGAACATTTTATGCATGACACCAATACATGGCGAGGCAGACATTAAGCCAGACATTAAGGGAACGTTGAAGCCAGAACACAAATGGCCAAAAGCCAAAGCGCAAATGGCCAAAAGCCAAAGCGCAAATGGCCAAAAGCCAAAAGCCAAATGGCCAATGGCCAAAAGCCAAATGGCCAAAGTAGAACAACTTATGCATGATGAGGCCAGAACACAAATGGCCAAACCACTCCAATTCACCTCCAATTGGGGACAGAACCCCCTAAGGTATTGTATTTCTTTTCTTTATTTTATTTGTTTCAATTATTTCTTTTTTTAATTAGTTCCTTTAATTTAATTTATTTTCATAAAAAAATAAAACAATATAAAAATCAGAAAAAAAGACAAAAAATAAGTATTTTTATTTAATGTTATTTTTTTGTAAATAAATATCACTAATTAATTTTAGCTTTGTAAAATTAGGTTTAATTCAAACATTTTTCTTAATAAACTTAAAATTGGTAGAATTAGGTTTTAATCAATTTTTATCCTTTTTTTCTTTTCTTTCACAATAATTAATTATTAAATATTATTTTTGTAATTAAATTACCATGTAAATAATTAGATTAATCTTAGGTTTAATTTTAATATGTTTTCTTAATAAATTAAAAAACAACTAGAAATAGGGTTAGATTTCATTTAATTTTCTCATAAAAACACCTAAAAAACATAAATACCAAAAACTCAAAAAAAAAAAAAATAATTTCTTTTTTTTCTTTAATTTCATTAGTTTAATCATTCAATTTAATTTCATTAAAAAGGGTCCAACGCCCTCGCTTCCAATTTTAATTCCAATTCGCGCATTTTATTTTATTTCTTATAATATTAATGTAATTCTCCCAAAGCCTTGTAAACTCGGACATTTTATTTCTCGCACTTTACTTCTTTATTTTCTGTCTAATCGGGTCCTGGATTAAATTTGGCGATGTGGACCCGCGCCTTTGTAATAGTTTAGAACTTTCAATTTCCGCATCTTTTTTAACTGTTAAATAAATGCATGCAAGAATGAATGACAAAAAAATAAAAAACAAACGCATAGATCACTTTGACATGAACAAGATAAAATAACTGAACATGACACACAAATCACACACCACCCCTAGGGTACGCCTCACTGTTGCCTTGCCTCGAAAGGTGATCGTCGAGTAGAGGATGTCTTAGTAAGTCCTCATGAT